CAGAATGCAGACGCGGAGGCGAGGCAAAGTGAGTTCTACATGCAGACCCCCATGCATTGCCTCACAGCAATTTCAATCAAGGATTTTTTCCAGAAAGGACCACATGACCCTTAACTTTGGCCTGGTGTTCAACATTTTGATGATGATTTAAGATCAACCCAGTAAAGACTGTTTGAATGGCTCTGTCAATCTTGCTTTTGGTTCGAGTTCTATGGTTGTACATGGTCGCATGCATTCGGTACACTCCAATAGATTGTACCAGACTCAGTACTGTGGCTCCTACGACCTCCATGTTCAGATCAAGAAACCAACCACAGTGGGATGGTTCCAACATACCATGCACTACCTTAGAAGCTGTCTATTCTGAGGTAGTTAGGCGAAACAACTGCAAAAACTCCCAGACGTTTTGTGTTCCAAACTGTTCCACAACTGTTCATCAAAGTGTTCCATGTGTCCATACGTGCCCACTCCCATGGTGAAAAACTCCAAAAACTGGTGCTGGCAACAACTCTGCAATAGAATTTGAACCTGTCAACAGAGTTCCATATGATATGTATATATATATATATACGTCAATTTAAGAACTGCCAACAAAGTTGATTGTAAAGCAGCCGAGTTGAAGATACACTCCCCGGAAATCCATCTTTTCGATGGGCCAACCAACGTCGATGACATGATGGCCCCGAAACGATGACCACAAAATCCGAAGACCAAAGAAGTGGTGCCATCCACTGCCATGATTCTAGGGACTGTCCATCATTTAAACTCAAGTGTTATGTGAATCCACTGACTGGTGCGATTCATAATGAATTTCAGGAATCCTGAGAGGTATAGGGGTGGTGAGTTCCCTCATTCCCTCCAGAGGCAGTCCTATACCAATCGTGGCTTTTCGACCTTGGTGTTTTGCCGCCCCTCGCCAAGGTCCTCGCGCCACAGAAGCTTCCACGATTGGCACAGAAGCCCAGTCGTGGTTGTCCAGATGCAGCCGCACTGGACCGGTACCGCCAAGTAGCAGAAAAGGTTATAGTTGTAGGTTTATAGCAGCAGCTAGTAGGCTGCTCAGTTATAGTGTGTTATAGTTGTAGAGATGCGGTGGATGCAGCAGAGATGCAGCAGATATGTAGATCCATTGTTGGCAGTAGATGCCGCAGGCAGTGGCTGGAGTTTTGTTTCGTCATGTAAAGTGTAAAGGTTTGGTTGGAGATGTACCTCTCAAAGAACCACCACATTTGGGGCGTGTGTCAGCGTGTGTTGATGCAAACAATTTGGTCGCATGAGCAGGTGAGGGCCTCAAAAAGTTTATAAGATTGATCAGTGTAATTAACAAAAGACAAGCTACAACAATTACAATCGTTTGTTGCGCAGGAATGCTATATAGGATACTTCAATGAGATGCTAGAATCATGTGTTTTGATCAGAATTAGAATAACTATGTTCTACGAAAAACATCGGACAATTGTGAACAAATGTAACATGATCATGCTATAAAAAAACCTTTTGCGCTGGGTGCTTCACCTAACCATGAACCCCCGCTGCTCGCGCCGTCCACGCCTCGCCTCGCAGGTCTTCGACGACCTCAACGGCAACGTCAACGGCTGTCGCGACCGCTTCCCGTGGAAGGCCGACCAACCTCCCGGCGAAGCGGGAGAAGCGGTGGTGGATTTGAGGGAAGAAGGGAGATCCCAAAGGGAGATTGGAAGAAGGTGATGGATGAAATGGGTCTGGTGGACAAGAATGTGAGTAACATTGATTTGATTGGTCTTAGACAATTTGAAGTTGGCTGCACTTATAGCTCTGTGGAACACACGTTCAGAGTCTGTGTATTTCCTTTGAGCCTGAGTTCAATGGCTCCAAGTTGTTGGTATATTCTTATGGGAACTTGCCGAGATGTATGCAGCTCATGTAGCTGCAGCTGAACAACAACCAATCCTCCATTCACTTCTCAGAAACATAAAACTCTATTAAGATGCCACGCAGCTCAGTGCCATGCGACAGAGTGCATTAGCCAGCGGCGCCCCAAGACGCAACAAGCCTTCATCTCCCACTGTTCGTTGTTGTTCTTGTTTTTGTTCCGTTCATGTGCCGAAACAAGTTCACAATAAGAACACACACAGCTTCTGATTTGGACTTCTCCAGAAGCACACCTGCTACTACTCCGACCTCGTCTACTCCGAGAGCAAGGACTGACTTCTTCAGGCTCCGGGGTCGAGGTGGTCGAGCTAGCGGAGCTCCAAGGGCCTGAGGGCTCTTCCAAACCGCTGCAGTAGCAGCTCAGTACTCGTAGCAAACAAACCATGAGATCCTTAGCGCAGCAATGCGCTGCACAGCGTGGAAAGACCATGGACTGGAGCCACAAGAACAAACTCAACCCCCTGTGGCTGGGGTCACGGGGATCTTCCTGTTCTAGGACCCTAGGACTATTACCATTGGCATAGGGACTGGGTCGCCCAAAGAAAGATCAGCTCACCCCGGGAACCCCAGCGGGCAGCGGGACGATTTCGCGCACCCAGGGAACCCACAGCAAGGATCTGAAGGGGCTGCCACTCGAGAATGGATCAAATATGCGTGGACTGCCAGGAGAATGGCACGGACACAAAATATGGCACGGGTTCGGTCAACCATCGGGTAAAACCGGAGGATCCACGAACTGGACCGGACGACTGGACTGATTTGAGCTGGAGCAATGCGGTCGGTAAAGAGTCTCCGACCGATTTGGTTGGTTAGAAAACTTCAAAAATTGATTGATGATGGGCAGTCTTCCCATGAATGACCCTGAATAGATGAGTAGCATGCTTTTATGTTTAAATGAAATTTGGATTAGACGTTTGCAAAGACACTTGTGTGATACACTATTTGTGGCGAGGGCTCTTGAAGCCTTTGGTGTAGGCTCTTAGATTTCACACAGGCGAAGACAGTTTGCAAATTCCAACTTATAGAGTGTATGAAAGGTTGTAAAACAGTTTCTCAAGTCCTTTGGTGTTACGCGAAGCCTCGCGAAGCCACGTACCCCTTCCCGCAAATTCTAACCCTGCGAACCCCCCCAGTGTATAGGCACTGTACCTAAAAAGAAACGGCTCAGATTCTGCAGATGATGTAATGTTTACAAAAGAATGGACTGCAATCAGAATGGAAGTGCTCACAGAATAGACTGTGGTTCGTTGAAACAGGACAAAGACGCTGGAAGCGAGGATTGGCACAAGATTTGTTTTTGCTTGAAGGAATAGCAGATGCTCATTGGAGCAATATTGGTGCTCCCCGGACAACAGGCAAAACAAGAACATCACAGCACTAATCCTTTCACGCCCGTAAAGGCCAGTAAACCTAGGTGAAAGTCACATGTCAGCACCCAAAGTAGTTGTTTTGTTGCAATTTGCCATGCGTGTTGTTCATTTCAGGTGTGGCGCCCCGAGTGCAGCGAGGCTTTAAGCAGGGCGGTGGCAGGAGGAGAATGAGAGAGAGAGGAGGAGTTGACGATACTGTAATTATCCTTTAAATTCCTTAAATATCCTTAAATGATCATTAAAAGACCTATTCAGATCTGAATTGATCCTCTTTCAATTCCGACTCCCTTGGCCGACATTTCTCTAGACTTTGTTGGCTCGCTCCTCCCCGGCCTCGCAGGAGTCCACCTTTCTCCGAGGGGCGAAAAGGGCGTCACATCGGAGGCGCCCAACTGGACCGACGAGCGTGGGACCGTCAACGTGACGCCGGCGGCGTGGGGCCGATCGTGTAATTCAGGGGGAAACCTGTTTGGGGTGTCTAAGTGGCCCAAAAAGAGGTCAAGCGTTTGGGGTATCCATTGACCACCGCGGGTGGGTCCAGTCGCGAAGTGGTCAAGTTGCAGTGATACTTGCCCTCCGTTTCGTGTGGTTAGCTCGATACAGTCTCTTTCGTGTGGTCCTTTCGAACATGTTAAAGTTTTGTTTTACGTTTGCGCAGAGGGTAGCACGGGGTCTTTTCTTGGAAAACGGGCAGAACAGAAAGAGGCTGATGAAAGAAGCGTCTTGATGACATGCAGACTTTTCGTTCAAAGACCAATGGCTCATGGAGTGGGTTCCACGTGTTTGTTCCAGGTCGACAATGGTTCTCCTGAAGCTCAGCGACATGACTTTCAACTTGGTGGGAAGACAGACACAGTTTCACCAGGCTGTGTTCCTTCTGATGAAGATGGACCCCACTGGAGGTGTTGGGTGTTCATCTTAGTCAACAGACAATAAGCAGAGACACGATCCTTGCAGTAGAATCCTACTGACATTTGTGATGTAAGATCTGTTGAATTCCTGTTGAAGGGATATTCATATATTAAATTTTGCTACTCATGGCAGGATCTTCCTGCCACATATTTGCATGGCTGGGATTCATACTGGGCCATTTGCAGCTTGAAAAATGCATCAGAGCGTCCTTCTCAGATTCTTGAGTTGCAGAGGCTTGGATGGTTACACGCTCCTGAGGAGTTCCACGATTCCACGAGTGGAGTAGTTCGTAAGATTTGTGTTACATGAACTACTGCTCTTTGAGGAGCATTCAGGCGGAATTTCACAACCTCTACCTCACCTTGCAGATTCTCGTCTAACTTTGCGTGCATTTTATCGTCCGGAGCTGCTGGGGCTGCTAGGGGACTGCACATGGAAGAAAGGTTTTGGGGCCCCTTCCGAACCAAAACAGTGACATCCATCCGTTCCAAGACATTGGCTCAAAACAGCTCCCCCCATCAACCTCAAATCGACGTGCTGCCTCATGCGGCGGCTGCAGCGCGTTTCGGCCGTTTCCAGCATCCCGGCTTCAGCTTCGGTGACACTTCAGCTGATCCCCGACGATGCTTCACCAAACATGGATAAACATTGTTATTTTTGTGGGAAGAATGCCGCATTGCAGCATGGTCGCAACAGCGAAACATTGTGCTCAAAGTATGAAGAAACCCATGAATCATCATGAAACATCTCCTTCTGAAACCCTAGGTTTTTCCAATCGACCCTACAAAAATTATCGGGTTTGGGTCGACCGTAGGACCGTAGGGTATATATAACATAGCTCGCTGGTCACATCATTCCCTCGCTGTGCATGGCTCGAAGACCTTCGATTCATCACCCCCTCCTCGTGCGAACGCCGCGATGTTCCTGCGCCTCTGCACGTGGATCACATGGGTCCGAGCTCTTGGCATCGCTCCGGTGTCGACCGGCGTGGTCGATGGTGTGGGGGACGTGAACTTGTCCGTGCGCGTGGATTTTGGAGATGACAACTCCAACTGTGGAGAGCCCATTTGCGATGCACTGCACCTTGGCACGGGTACTGAATGCAAGAAAGACGTCCCAAAGAAGTGAACGGATTGCAAGTTCTTGCACCTAAAATCAGGGGTACTGGGATGTACTGGGCATATTTGGTTGCGACTTGCATTCAAACAGCAGTCCCAATTGTTTGTTTGTTTGTTTGTTTGTTTGTATAGTAGTTCTTTTGCAGTCAAATAAAACCACACCTCAGATCCTCCAGGAACACATCATGTCTCGCGAAAGTTCCGAAGCTGCAGCTGGAGCTGTGCCAGTCCTTGGGTTCCATGCCACTTGGTACCGAAGTGCTTGGGAATGAACACGACTGCACCAGCAGCCAGCAGTTCCACAGATGTTGTTCCATTTTTTGTGCTCGAAGTATGCGTCAGTGGATGTGATGAGAACATTGTGAATGTGATGTGAACCTAGCACTTAGACCTGTAAGTAGGCTAGGGTAGTCTATTGGACACCCATTGGATGATCCTGGAATGTGTTTTTCTTTTTATCACCGACGACCGACGAGATGTGCCGACGGAATCCGACCACGCCGATGGTGATTTGAACCCAAGAGATCGATCTTTTTTCCGCCGCGGAACTTCCACGTGGGGATGGTGTGTTTCACCACCGGCAATGGGTGCGGCTGGGGTTTCGTCACTTGATTTGTTTTGTGTGAAAGAATAGGAAGAAGATTCCAAGGTCAGAAGACCAAGGGAAAGATGGGAAAGAACCATGATCATGGAATCTATGTTTTTCATTTTTTTTTGAATATCGGTGCGAAGGGAAACCACAGAACAGTCAGCAGGCTTGTAAGCTCAAAAGTTCCTATATATATAGGATATTCACAGCCCCCTGAGATGATATTTGGACGGTGCGAAGCCAGCACGGAAATACGTCCAACCACCTTCCCAGAGGGTATGTGGATCCAGATCCAGATCGACTTGCACTCCACGATGACAATGAAATGACAATGGCCCCAAAACCAGGTTCCATCCAACCCCTCTGGTAATTGAATACAACGACTAGTTGACTAGTTCACCTGCAGGTCTTTGGGTCGGCTTCATTGAGCTACAAACAAAAGGTCTGTTCTGAAAGGAAGGGCATGAATCCAAGAGAATCCAACATGACCTATTCTCAGCTCTTGTGTTCATTCTGGCAAATGAAGAAGGGAACTTCCTTTCTGGTGTTGATGATTTTGGAGCTTTCACGCTCTGCAGAACGACCTCGTGCCCAGGTCCGTGGAGTATGTCACCACTCCCACGGAGCAGGTGCGATTAGCGCCAAAGCGATAGAGTAACTAGCCTCCAATCATGGAAGCTGACCAGGACTCAATTGAGTCAGCTTCCATGAGAGGGGGAATTCTTCAGCTACACTCATGGAGCTCCTTGTAGAGGAAAAGGATCTTCCAAAAACTTCTGTTTCAGGGGCCTCCATTTCACCATGCCTTCGATGGACTTGCAAGATCGGCACAAAAACGTGGACCATCCATTCGATACCGTGGGTCACGAAAAGACATACACGGTTGGTCACTCGCTTTTCAGGTATGCAAGCCCATGCCAGCTAGTTGAACATGTCAAAAAACATTGGGATTAATGATTATATAGGTGCTACGTGTTCTGAATTTGACGTGGCGAAATGTCCAACCTCTTCTCCTGGTTGTTCGGACCATTCGACAGTCTGTCGAAACTCGACCGTCGAAGTGGCTCCTCTCTCCTAATACTATGTTCTTTGTTTAGCCCGCCTCCCCCCCTCCAGGTAAGGAGGTAAGCTACCAGGCTAAGTTGGCTACTAAAGGCATGGACGCAGCTATCCTAGCTCACGCTTCCACACGAAGAAGCGCTCACACTACCTGAAAGTGGATCGATTTTTTATGGAAAAAGACTTCAAGTCCCAACTTGCAAGTCTCCCTGATCCCTTCCAACCACCGAGGTCTCCAGGGTCCCAAAGCATCGGATCCCCCCAACAACCGAGGTCCGACACCGACGTTCGTGGGCGCCGCACGACTCCTGAAGGTGAGCAATTACTTCCAGAGCAATGACTGCACCGGCAGCAGCATCTCCTCAGAAAGCGTTCTGCAGGGGGCTTGTACCCCTCGCAGCAGTGACAAGGAAGCCCGTCAATACTTTCCGCTGGTCGGGGTGTCTAGGCAGCGGTTGACTTGGTTGGACTGATTTCTCGAAAATGGGAGAGACATCCCACATCTTGCTGATCGAATTCTTTGCCAGATGTTTCCCAACCGGGCGTCTAGAAACCCGTCCAACGACGTGCTTTTGCTTCGAAAATCTCTGAGAGATTCGGGATGTTTCGGGTGGTTTCCAGATCCAATGACATTCACAAACAATACCAGCAAGATAAAAAACAGACAAAGAGCCGATGTTGTTTGGAGTATACTCTATTTTATTGCTGTTCCGTTTCCTTCTAGCAAGCCTTGCAGCACTTCCCAGGTGTGCAACAATGCATCAACGGCTGCCTTTCTCCAGCGCTACATCTCTGAAACGCCGCTCTACGGATCAGCGGAAGAGTTTCCGACGGATGTGTGCCTGAGCAACGGTGAAGCAGAATCCAAGGTCTACAGCATCCATGAAGAGAAGGTGTTTCGTGTGACATATGGACTCTTGGGATCTCTTTTTGGCATTTTTTAGCACAAGGAATGTGATCCAAATGAAAACCTATAAAGGACACTATCGACTGTGGTATCCATAGATGGCTCGATGGTGCTTCATGACTAACCATGATGTTTGCAAGGTATCCATGAACCCATCTTCTTATCAAATCTAAATCTAAATATCAACATATATTTATGTATATATTTATTCCGTAAAAAGGTTCTCTGGCCGCCTTTGGCTGGAGCTTTGAGTTGAATCTGAACTGAGCTGAGGAAACAACAACTGCACTGGCTCAGCAGAGAGCGTCAATGACATCACCAGCCGTGCTAGCATCTTCGGGGTTTTTTTGCTTGGACTTTGCCACCGTGAACATCGACTGGAACTTGGTGGCTGGACAATCTGAATTGAGTGGGATGACTGGGGACTGGTGAGCAGGATGGCAAGTTAATCTAGTCACTAGGTTGATGAAAACCCAATTAAACAGGAGTCATATCAAAAAGATAGAACATCTTTGTCCTGCTACCTTCAGTCACTTGATAATGATACTACAAAGGCTGTATTCTCCCCAAGGAATCCGAAACATGTTCCGGGCTTGTTGGAAGAATCCTTCCACAAATCCAACAAAACAATCCATCACCCGAAACCCATCCGTTAAACCATGTTCTTTTTCCGGGTGCTTTTCAACGGGCCCTCAAACAGATAGGGTTTGGTTCGGGCCCGGACCCCTGCTAAGAGGTCGGGTCCGACCCCCAAGGGTCCCGTTCGGATTCTTAGGGCATGTTACATGAAAGACGACAAGAAGCTACTAGTAACAAGTGCCTTGCTAGTAGTAACAAGACGCTATAGATTTAATTTAAATTCAAGTTTAAGTCTAATAGCTTCTTGTTACTACTAGTAAGGCACTTGTTACTACTAGCGTGGCACTTGTTACTACCCAAGGACGGCATCCTGAACAACGATGGTCGCAATGTCTCGCATGAACTGGTGACCACGACCACGAGCACGACCACGACCACGAGCACCACCAAGAGCACGACCACGGTGACCACGTTGCTGGGCGTTGAACGGGCGATCAGAGCACCCACGGGTTTTTCACGTTGCTTCCGGATTTTGGATGCCCCATGGGTGGGAATAGTCATAGTGGACGACCTTTAAAACGTTTTGGGGGAATTGGATTGAATGGGTTTCCCCAACTCAAATCCAACGGAAAGCTCGTTGTGACTTTCCAGTGATCTCCAGCTCGATCCCGCGAAAATTGGGATGTCCATTTTTGCGAGGCTAGACCGGCGATAGGAGCCTTGAAAGATGGACATGTCGACTGGATCTTACTCATGTGAGTGAAGGGAGTTTCGGAAGTTTTTCTTTGGCCGACTGTCCGACCGAAAACTATCGGGGGGGGTGAATGAACGCAGAGCTGGCTTGGGATTTGCGAAGTACCCACGGGCTGAGGTGAACGCTGATTGGATTGATGAGTGCGTTTGGATGTGACGGTGTTTGTTCCAAAAAGCATTCTGAATTCCGAAGTGGGCGGATGCCGGATCAATGACCCGCTGTTTGCTGCGTTCGAACGCTGTTTGCTGTTTTCCACAGGACCGATGGAACCAGCGCCACGACCTCGAACGAGACCATGTCGGAGAACGGGACCACCACAGGCTCTGCAGCAATCGGAGGGTCCCAAAGAAGGACCTTCATGGGGGTTTGGATGATTGCTTTCATGTTCGTGAAGTAGTTTTGTCTCACACATGTGCGAACTGTGGGAACCCCACATGATGAGATGCCCAACGACTGTAGTTGCAGTATTTGATGGACCATGTCTTCATCTCTTTGTGCCAGCTTCGTCAGAGCTTGCAACTGCACTCGAGTCACTGGGACTGATTTTCATGTGTCGTCTCACGTTCGCTTTGCATAGCTTGGGCAAAGACCTCAAGTTGTTCCATTCACTGCAGTCAGAACTGCTTGACCCGGCAGAGCGTCCCTCGCCCACTTCGGGATGACCCGAGCGCGTCTCGACGCGTTGAAAGGTATTCTCACTGGAAAACCACAGCTGGCAGTGAATCCCTACAGATACAGTTGGAGAAAATCCAGAAGTCTTCCAGGGCCAAGCTTCAGTCAGTACTCACGGTATGATCATGGTTTATATTGTAACAAGAAGCTATTAGTAACAAGTGCCACGCTAGTAGTAACAGGTGCCTTACTAGTAGTAACAAGAAGCTATTAGAAACAAGTGCCACGCTAGTAGTAACAGGTGCCTTACTAGTAGTAACAAGAAGCTATTAGAAACAAGTGCCACGCTATTTGTAACAGGTGCCTTACTAGTAGTAACAAGAAGCTATTAGAAACAAGTGCCACGCTAGTAGTAACAGGTGCCTTACTAGTAGTAACAAGAAGCTATGAGTATCAAGTGCCACGCTCGTAGTAACAGGTGCCTTACTAGTAGTAACAAGAAGCTATTATTTTTCAGATTTGACCATGAGACATCTCATGTCCCGCAGGGTCCCGCAGGCCGAAATCTCCCTGGAATGATCCTGGCCACCAGGCATGTGAACAGATTCCTTTGATCCCATTGGCCCATGGTGTCACCCTTTTTGGTCTGATTGGTATTGACTCTGTGTCACCCTCGCACAGTCGAACAGATCTCCTCTGAAAAACTTGAGGACTCATATATACCTCCCAGTGTAATTCGAATTCATTGCTGACTGATCCTTTCGGCACACCGCACCTACCAGACGGCTATTTTGTTGTTCGACCTCCCTAGCTGTGCACCGCCCACCCGGAGCGGAGCCAATCACCTGACTCCGTCGGAGACCGCGTCCACCGAGACCGTCCTGATCGGAGACCGGTGGGGAAAGCGTCGAGAGTCAGGTGAAGAAGGCCAGAGTGGTGAAAGAAACTGCATGGTGCGGCATGGTGGGGTGGTATCTCCTTGATACAAACAGGTCGTTTTTGGGTCCCAACTTCGCTCAGGCCCAAGCTGCATGGCGTGTTCCCCTGCGAAGAACGAGACCGAAGAGGCCAGACAAGTCCGACCGATCCGATTGACTGAGGCCTCCAGCATGGCCTCTTGAACTCATGAGGGTAGAGACCATGTCGGTACCGGACATGTCCAGATGGCTCTGTCCCGCCGTTGGTAAATATTGGTCACTTGATATCTCCTGTGTGGTCCAACAAAGAGAGCAGAGCAGAGTTTCTGAAGTGATGCAAATACTCTAAAGTCTTGATGACATGCAGACAGATGGATTGTTCTTTGGAAGACCAACTGGTTTGAAGAAAAGCAACCCAGTCAGTGGATAGCTGATTGCACGTGCTCGTTGCAGGTCAACAACACAATTCATCTGAAGCTCAGCAATATGAGTGCCCTTGCAGTTGCTGGGAAGCCTTGGCTGAAAGACCGTTTCACTTGGCGCCCATCCTCGCACAAATATCGTCGAAGATCAAAAGAACTGGAGGGCTACCTGGCATGTTCGCAGCGGTCAGTGTGGGGGGGTGCATGACACAGGCTCCTTTGAAAGTATGACCTTCGAAGATGTCTGGAGAATGTTAAAGTTGAAGGTGCCGGCTGGTCAGAAGGCTTTAGCAGGGAAGCATTTTTACGAAAGGCTAGGCCCTAGGCTGAAGTTTTTTCAGCGATGTGAGAAATTGGGGCTCGTGATGCAAACGATACAATATGATAAAACCAAGAAGGATATGTTCCTTTGAACTCGAAGTCGCGCTCCGAAGCGGTTCCAACGTTAACTTCCACTAGCCTTCGTTTCCCCTTCTCAGGTTTCAACCAAGTGATTTTCCCATAGAAGAACTCTATATGATAGCAGTGAAGCGGACTGCTTGGAGGCAAAGATGGCAAAGACGGCAAAGGTGGCAAAGACGCTGGAAAAGGTGGCAAAGGCCCTTTGCAGGGTCGAGTGGTGCATCGATTTTAGGTCGGCAACAATGCCAAGGTGGATGCGGTTGCTGACCGCAAGGCCTTACAGCCTGACACATACCAAACCTGGCACACTTGGAGCTTCAAACGGTTGGAAACCACTTTGCGACTGCCATGATCAGTACGATCTTGGAGAACCAACCCGGACGTCTCATGTGCTTTTTGGCGGTCGCAGAGAATTCCATGGTGCACAGTGCATAGGAGAATGGATCCATTGACCTCGTAGACATCCATTGGCCCATTTGAGATTGTGTTTTTGATATGACATGCCATGACATCCATAGCCTGAGCATCCAGCCATCCGGGGTTTGAGCCATGCTTCAGAGTGCGGATCCACTTACTTCCTTGAACCCCCCCGTTCATGCCGTTCGGTGCGACTCTGTGCATTCCAGCGATTGCGAGGGAAGAATGGAAAAGGGAAAGGGAAAGCGGAGGCCAAGGCAGGGAAGCTGACCTGGATCGGCTAGTTTGTTTGTATTTGTTGCTTTTTAATGTGTGTGTTTTTATTAGTTTAAATCCTTTTTCGTTCATCCTTTCAATGTTTAGATCCCACATGATTCCACCTAAACTAAGGATCTTGAATGATCTTGAACCTGTTTTCTCAAAGCAAGACCCTCGGATCGATGGCGGGAGTCCACTAGTCCGCGCTTCCTGAGTCAGAACGTCCATCGTTTCAAGCAACGACATCTTCCTTTTCTGTGAGACCGTAATGACCAGTGGCCATGACTACCAGGGAAATTCCCAAATTGCGATCGCAGCATCCAAATGGTAAGCCATGATGAGTTGACTGGGTTGGGAATCCAACTCATGCAACAAACTTTGGCTATGGGATGAGTACAGGAATGCCTCTAGCCGAATCTTTTCAGGATTTGTGTTCAACATAAGAAAGAGGTTACCCACAGCGCAGGACTGTGTTTCGCCACTGTGGGGAACTTCCGGAGCAAAAACCCTTCGACAAAGACGTTGGACAGACCACTGTGGCTCAGGCATCAAGCAAACGACTTAAGCCTAACATCAGAAAAGCAAACCTAACTGAAACGCGTACAGAAACCACATCCAAAAAAAGTGTAGATCTAAACAACACATAACAAAACTAGAATTCTATACGAATCTCTTCTGTCGACTTGACGTCCGCGATAGGTCCGCGGTCCAGTCCGTCCCTCGGTGTGCAGGATCCACCCAAGATTCGCCCCGCGCCGGAAGAGAGCGACAGCGAGGAAGACGAGGAGACCTGCGTCCTCAGCTGTCCAATCTCGCTGCGAAAGTATTGTAACTATATATTATAATATAAGATTATTTTTGATTTGTTTGTTTATTATTTAGTTTCTTTTTTTTTAATGTGTTTGTTATTTGTTTAATATGTTTTTTTTGTTTATGTGTTTGTTTCAATTAAAAGATCCGTTGGTTGGGTTTGTTCAGATCATGTACACGCATGTTTAATGGGTATTATATAAGGGGTCATCGACTCCAGAAACCGGATCACGTTGTTTGGGGCAAAACCCCTGGAGAGGCCACGTCACAAGCTACCAAAGACGAGTGGATGGCAGCGAGACTATGGGGTCGCTCGCAATGCCAGTTCCATACTACTGAGGGTCTTCAATGGTCTTCAGACCCCTCAGATTCGATGGATATAGCTATATGCCTATTCCATGAAATGGGGAGATGTACCCGTGCCATGACACCAGCCGGACATGTCTTCGTCTTTCTCTTCTTCACAATCCGGTCTGGGGTGGAAAGGTTCGGGTAAATAGACCGGTGCACTAAGTCATTCTGTAAGGAGGGTCTTGTGGAGAAGGCTAAAAGTTTGATGTTGTTTCTTTGAAAGAACTCATTGAATTCATGTTCATCCTCAATCACCACGTCGCATAGGAAGCCTTTCCAGCGCCGCCAGGAGAATGGCAAGGCCAAAGAGAACCCAGAGGCCCTGTCCCAGCTTGGTGCGGAGCATCCGCGGAACCGCGAAGGGCCCCGTTTGGGGGAAATGCAGATTCACTACCAGCACCCTCCAACAGGTGTTTCCTGGAGATGACAGATGCCCCAGAAACCAGCTATGCGGGTCTCCAAACAGCCTGTTGGAGGGTCCTTGTATGTTTATATTTTTCAATTGGTTGGCTTGGACTTTGCCTGGAAACTGTTGGAAAATGTCATGGTTGCTGGATAGCTTTGTCACGTCCGATTCCGATTCCGTATTACGGGGGTTGGACACGTTTGGACCATGGGAGAGGAAGTTCAGATGTGAAGCTTTTACATCATGATATAGACCGAGTTGTATGTGCCATGTTTTGATCAAGTACCTGCCCAGTCCATACTTTGTCAAGTGCTTGTAAACAGATAAATTGCAAGACCAAACAAATCAGAAAAAAAAATGTCAGCGTACTGTCAGAGTCCCTCAGATGCCTGCATCATTTCTCAGAAGTTGGCCAGTCCCAAACCAATGCCTTGTTTCTGTTTAAACGGCGGCTTTTCGATAAAGGGACTTGATATGTTGTCCTAGAAGCTTCTGGAGTAGCATGATGTAGCACTAGTTTTGGCATATTTGCCCAACACGTTTCAAGGATCAGGGCGACCTCTAGCACCATGTCTCCTCTCGTTTCAGGTCAACATGCTACTTGACAACTCAGTGCTAATTTACCTATTCATTCGCGACACCGCAAGTGTGCAAGTCACAAGCACACTGTCCATTCTCCTGTGTATGCCTGAACCTTGACCCACAACGCGTTAGGGGTACCTGACCACACCTGTGCTGGTCCAGGACTGCGATTTAGCTGTGAGTCCTACTAACTCAAACTCACCTCCCCTTTGTGTGGGAAGTGAAACTCCCTCAGGGTGACAGGGTGACAATGCAGTTCATACGAGGGCCTGTAAAG